TTGCTCAGAAATACGGTCGCGTGGTTCGGAGACTGTCTAACTATAAGTACTCTCTGAAGGCCGTGCTTGCAAATGACCCGAGCCAGGCTGTATCGGAATCGGCCCACCATCACGGACAGGACGATTGTCGCGAACAAACTTGATATCGCGTTAATGGACAAGGCACAGTCGCAAGTATTTTTGGTGGACATTACAATTCCATATGAGGAGGACCTCGTGAAAGGTGAAACAGACAATAAGACAAAATATCTGGACCTGATTCACGAGGTGGCCGACGTGGGGTGGTGTGCAAATCGAAATTATCCTTATAGTCTTTTCTGCGAATGGGTTAATCCAAGCCTTGATATCTGAGGCAAATGCAGAAATTATATACATTTTTTTAGGTTAAATATGGCGATTCATAAGAACGCGCAAGCGTCTATTTAAATATATATATTTTTGAATTGATTGGATTTGGAATGGGACTGCTCCGAGCCCAAATGCAGAAGTGCAGAAAATTTCAGAATGATCCTTGATACATCTTGACCCAAACACTTCCCTAGTCTGTGGGCTTTGATACGGTTTTAATATTTATTATTTGATATTTATTAAGTACACATACTTATATTTTGTATATTTGTATGTGTGAACTCTATCCGACGAAAAAAGAACTAAAAATAATCTCTAATATATAAAATTCTCGTGTCACGGGGTTCGAACTTGAACTCCTCCGAAACGGCTCGAGCGATTTTTACCAAATTTTATATGCGTATTCAGTAGGTATGAGAATCGGCCAACATCTATTTTTCGTCCCCATAAATGTTTGGGGGGGTAGTGCACCCCTAAATTTTTCTTTTATTTTTATATAAAACTTTTTGTTTCTATTTTTGAAGTGAAACTTCTTTATCGGGTTTGGAAAAAAATTTAGTGTAACATTTTTGCGTTACGCGCCATCTTGTTGTTGTGGTTTAATAGTTGACGCTAGATGGCGTTAGTTCCTATGACTGTTCATAACAATATATATATATGTTATATTAAAGTGATCAGCAAAATCAAAGGGTTTATTTTAATTCTAATTCTAAAATGTAAACAATATATTTCGTATTTCAGTAACCATAAGCCATTAATAACACAAATATATAATAACGACATCAATGATAGTAATAATTCTATTACAATTAATGAAATTCAATAACAATATTTGTAGTAATGACAGTGCTAGCTCTAATACGACACGACACTGTAGAGACTTCCTCTTCTCCAAAGGCAGGCACCGCCCACCGTGACCTGACTGCGCCTTCCACCGAAGAGTTCGGTTTTCCAAAAAAACTTAACTCACAACACTCGCGCGCGAGTCAAATGTCTGCCTTCTACTCACTGGCTGACTATTCGGCTGACAAATTTTTTTTTTGGGCTTGATGAGCCACTGTTGGCCTTAGGGGCCTTTACAGATCCGACGGACTTGAGGTGGCCGGGCGCTCGAGGCGCCTAGCCTGAACCTCGGTTTTTAATCAACAATTTTTGCGGACTCTCATACTAATTACAACGGTCAAACCATAGTGTATTTTAATTTACTACTAACGCCACCTATGTATTACAATTATACAAATAAGAAACTAAATATTATACAAAGCTAAAATGAATTAATTGTAGAATTTGTATTTATGTCTATGATAATAAAAGCCTTTTATTAAACTTTATCTAATTTAACTTTATTTAACCAATTTCTGTAAAGTTGCATATAGTAAATTATTTTTTGAAAAATAACGTCATAAAAAAGTTTCACTTCTTACGAGTGTACGCTACTACACGCACACATTTTTTTTATGACACAGCATACAAAAATACATACCTAAATTTTCACCCCTCTACGCAGACGTAGTCGCGGGCAGCAGCTAGTAATAACATAAAAACATGTATTCTAGCAATTGAGAACTGAATTGGAATGCCCCATACTACAGTTATAACTAGATAAATATTTTAAAGGTTACTAAGACACCTCTTAATACTATTATTGCAAATAATATTAATACTTAAATGAAACTTCATTAATTAATTTCACAAAATTTCCTTGTATTTACTATGTTTTCAGAAAAGGAATATTGGTAAGAAAAAGAAGAAAAAACGATTTTGCTGTATTAGTTAGCTCATAACTGGCAGGATTAAAATATATTCATGAACAAATATTTTTGACACGTCCCTACTTTTACCGCGCAACTTTGTCATGCGGTCATAATGTGAGACTTAAATCATGTTTATCACAAATATAAGACACTTTCATGAATTTTCCATACAAAACTACGCTGTCTACATTCCCTTTTTTTAATAAGCTTTTAGTTTTTTTATTTCTTTTTTTATACATTGTTTATACACAGCCAGTTTGGTAACGTTTTCCGAAGTAACCACATTATAACTGTTAAATGTAGCCTGATTATAACATTACACTTATTAAAATTCGTCTTACAGTAACAAGCGCCTTTGTTCTAGAAGAAACAAGGCATTGCATCGGCGCCTAGAGCGACTTTATCACAGGTTATCAGTGCAATTATGTTCTTGATTTGCTTACATACCGTTTGTTATGCGTGTCACGCGGGGTCACACGGCCATCGAAATAATGCCAATTATAAACTTTACTCACTGCTCGGTAAACTGAATGTTATCAAAATGTATGTAACTTATAAAGCACGGCAATTTGCAGCCGAACAGTTTGAAACTAGTGAATTATGATACAGTCTGGTATATCTTTGTAAATTCTACTTGACGTATTAAACACAATTTGTTTTTGTGCATCTTTTATATTATTAGTCCGGTCAAATGTGATTTTTACGAAAAAATAACACGAATCACCTAAAATCACCTTAAATATCTCGTAAAATTTAAAACACTTCATAACAATACTATAACGTCAACGAATCATAATCAACAAATAATGTTTTTAGAATCTTATGTGTCACGTGTCAAATGTCACGTGACCGTTAAAGTTAAAACTATACGCGACATATGTGACATATAGTTAAATGAATAAACTATATTATGTATTATCCTGTTCGTGTATGTATTCGTATTCCTATAGTAGTCTAATCTTAATGCCTACAGTATTTAAACTAATTTAGGCTATTTGAAAACAAATTATTGTGCAGCAGAAAAAATACCAGATGATTTTATTTCGTCATGACAGATAGGCAGCTCGGCATAATGTGGCTTTTTTTCTCTCCTTTTTGTAATCACTTCGAGGAAATATGCGCCCTTGACACAGCATGTTTATTCCAACATCAGTCTAGCGTCTGATAGCCTAACAGTGGCGTATTTATGAAACGACGAGAAGTTTTATAAAACGTTGAAAGAGTCAATGTATGTATAAACAAAAATGGTCCGAAATAATGTTTCATATCATCTTATTTCGATTTCGTCCACTTTTTTTATGTGAATATTCATTTATTTGTTTATTTTAATTTATTTTATGTATTATTACTTTTGGCACGAGACCAATATCTTAACGTTTTAGTTTATCAATGAATACGGCAGCTAAGATTGGAAAGTTTTTATTTACATTAGAATAAGGTTTTATTATGTTGACGGATAAATGTTTTGTGTCGTATTTCTAGATCCAATATGAAATAATTCGGTAAAAATTAAAGCGTTCTACTTTACGCCATCCGTGCAACACTGTTGCATGGTCCTACCACAGTTAAAATTAACATCAGGGGAACCGAAGATCGTATAGTCGTATCCAACGAAGCAATTCTACGTGATGCAAATGAAAAATTACAAAAGTACAAACATTGTAAGTACAATAATCATTGACGTCATGATATCTAAAGATATGAAGCTGTTAATTTTTTACGTTCTATAAAAAAAAAAAAAACAGAAAACGACACAAATAACAGAAGGAAGGAAGCAGTCGGTTAATACAATTGAAAACATTGTGTGAAAACACCGTACTTCTTGCTGCAGGGCATCTAACTCATATTTTTAACGCGAGTATTGGTTTTAGCGACGTTAGTAATTTACGTCACAAACAACTAAACTATTGCTACTGTTATTGATATTATGAATTGCTTTATAACACCGATGATCTTTAATCCTTCGCCTACAAAGTTGGGCCCACAACAAGAGATAATTATTCGTAGGATTGTAGTGTAGTAGGACGTGCGTCATACATTACCAAGGCATTGTCTTCGTGTCATATTATTTGAACAGCTGTCGTTAATAGAGTATTTTTGTAATGTCATTAAGATCGCAAATATCTGCGGTGATATTCAGAAGTCGCGTCATTTATCGTGAAACAAAAATGGAGCTCAATTATTGCGTAAAATGTAAAATTTATTGCGTTGGTCTTTATTCAATATTGCGTATATTCTGCGGAACCAGATCTCTCGCCGGCGTAGTAATTTAGAGAAAAACTTCTCGAAATTTATCTTATATTCTTCGTATAATCGTAAACAAACATTCCTTCCAGTTAATGAATTAGTATAATTTGTGGTGCATGTAGTCGAGTTTTGTGGCGATAATTATTCATTATATAGTCCTTCTAATTAAAACCTTTGATCTTGGGTTTGTAGTTAATTTCATTTCAAATCATACCGCTGTTATTATGTGACATTCGTCCTCCCTCTCGATGGAAAAGTAAAACTTTGAAAACTTTTCGGGAATTACTATTGGCAATAGTAATTCTATTCTGTCAAGTGTAAAAGTACCCTGTGTCAGTGCAGCATACAAAATCCAAATTCGAAATATCTCCGCCGTTACAGCTAAAGATAGAACCCAAAGAAATTTGTATTAATTATGTAAGAGCCATTCTCCCACACTAGGTGGTGTCGGCACAACAAGTCCTGTCCTTCCACTTTCCTCCATCAGCCGTCTCACCCCAGTAACAGACATATCCTTCTCCACACAGTCCATCCAGATCTTCCTAGGTCTTCCTCTAGCCTTACCCCCCTTCCCCCCTCCCCAACCACACTATTTAGGGGCTATATGAATGTGTTATTAAATGGAAATTATATATTCGCAGATAATACAACATGGTGGTGCGAGTGGCCACGGATGAGCGTCCGTTCGAAACGCCGTCTTCGGACGAGAGCGGCCTGGGACGAAGCGACTCGCCCAGCGACGACAGCGAGCCGGAAGCTGCCTTGGTAAAATCGATTGTATCAATGAATACCCGAGCTTATTGCAAATTAATAACAGACTTTCGCAAATTAAAAATAGACTTCAATAAGACAGTGCACGATTTTTTTATTTGACAACAAAAATTTGTGATTGCTCATAGAACGCGATTTACTGTATCCTACAAATTATGGACGTTACAAACATTGAGATAAAACTCCTTACACTCTATAGTCAGTAGTAATTAAAGAGTTATGGTTAAAATACTTAGCGATTCATTTTATTTTAATGTTCGTTTATTTTAATTACGTTAAAATATTTTAATGTAGCGTTCAATAACTTGTTTAAACATTAATTAAACAGTTCGTTTTTTTACCTTATGTTTTTACTTATACTAAAAAATATAATGTCCGAAGTAAATATCAAATATTAAAAATAACATAATCACTTATAAATATTTTCCGCGTTAATAAACTGTTGCCACCTTCGTATGTGATATAACCATAAAGGTTGCATATGTTTTGAAATGTTTGTCATCTTTGACAAGCTCAAAATTAAAACATGGCTAATTTATTTAGAAATTGACGATATTAATGTGGTTTGCCGAAATGTATCAAATTACCGAACACAATCACTGCTATGAAAGCAGCTCCATGTCTAAATGCTGCAATTTTTATGATAGCGTGCTACCACTTGGGCGTAGTTATTGCTAATTACATAAAAGACGATGCAAATAAAATCGAGTACAGAACAAATTCTGGTATCCAAACAGACGGTGTGGAGACAAAATCAATAAGTGCAGAAGCATGCAGTTGTGATCAAGCTAATAATCAATAGGGAACGTCTAAAATGACATATTCGATAACAATAAACAGTAATTAGTACACCTAAAATGACGGCGATAAAAAAAAGACTGAGAAGAAGAAAAATACGAGAAATAACAGAAAAAGTCATAAACGCTTGCCTGGGCGCGATGATATCTTTAGCTTTTGCAGAAATCACTTTGACTTTTATTATACTGTTGATGTGACTTTAATTTAATTTGTAGCAAATTAATAGTGCCTTAAAAGTAAACATTCGTGTGAGAGTTAAATTTAGACTACCACAAAATGAAGTTGAGATCTTGGCGTGTGGTTTTGGATGTAGTCTTGGACACCCTGTTTATCATCGCTTTAGGTATTTTCACATTGCTATTGGTATCTAGTTAATGTACAGCTTTTCAGTAATGGAGACTGTTTACAAGTTTGAGTTTTTCTGTACTATAAATTAGCAAATAAAGATTTGATCACTCCGTTGCTCGTTTTCATAGCCAGCTTATGTGCGAGTGTGTTTAATCAATTTGGGGGCTGCGCTACGCTTTCAGTACCTAATTCGTTGACGAGTCAACACCCAGTGGGTGGTCAGCGACCAAGATATTGGGCGCGTCTCGTACAGGGGTCACATTGCGTCATAATATAACCTTCGTAACAAAGTTACGAGGTTCAGTTGTCTCATTTTATCGATGACACATTAGATACAAATTTCTTAGATATAGTTCATTGGTAAGGTGAAGGGGCTTTTGTTACGACTAAAATTTACGGTTAAGTAAAAAATAATATAACAGCCAATACCTGGCGCACTGCTGGATAAAGGCCTACAGAGGGAATTAGGGCATATCCCACCGGATAACCACTGCGGATTGGCAGACTTCCCCTACGATAAGGGACACATCTGCGGAACGTTTTCCTTTTTATATTATTATTTCCAAAATATGCAGGTGTTTTCCTTCATCGCTGAACACGTGATCAATAATTTGAAAGATATCGACAATTCATCAATATCCCTTGCCCCGAAAAATAGGTTTTTTACGACCATAATTGCAAAACTGTCTCATTTTACGCTCCTCTACGTTTATACTTCATTAGCGTCAGTTATATAACCTGTACACAAGTTTTTTGGGTCCATTTTGGTCACGCCACACAATATTTTGTTTCGATTTTAAAACTTTCAACTCAACAACATGTTAGGCTGTACCTACTTAAGAAGGTACATTTTCGTATAACACTCTGTATTTGAGACATGAATGTATTTGAAATAATGTGATTATAAATATTCATAAACATACAACATAGGTGCAACGTAAGGTTAAAAAAAATATTTCGATAAACAAGTTGAAAAATATGTTTTTGAAACTTTTTGCTACAGTTCGCTCAGTGAGAAGACAAAATGTAATTTAGGATTTTTGAACGTCACAATTTGACACAGTGGATAAAAGCTGTTGGCGTTTTTAAAATAGAAATGGTGCATTTCGTAATTGTAACAGGAGAAAATAACAGTAGCGAAGGTGATTCAAAGTCGAAACAAATCGAACACTGCGTGAAGTATCATTTTATTAAAAAATATCACATAACTGAGGCAAAATTAGTAGTGTGACTGTGGCACATTGTTCAGCTTATTTGTTTACTGAGAGATAAATAACATATTATACGAGTAAATACATAAATCACATATATAATACTAAATGCCATATAAAGAACATATTATATACGAGTCCGTTAATATAATTTACAATGTACTACTATGTACAACGTACACTGTAATATATTTTTAAATTCAATCCAGAGCGATCCAGTTTGACTTCACAGATGTTATATGATATTGGATAAACTTGGATAATTTCAATCTTTAGCCCTACCTTTTTGACGGTTGCCGCAAAATTCTAACGATCGCTGCCTCGTTTATATCAAAAACTTCATTTCTCAATATTGAATTATTGCTACTACCTTTCACAAGTATGCAGATCAATGCATATTCATGACGATAACATTAATTCTTAAAAGTATAGGTAACTAGAAAATCACAACAATTTAAATTTGTATATAACAAATATTTCTCTGTTCTTTGCTCTGTATTCCCGAATAAACCGTTCCATGCAATATGTTCTATCAAAATATTCATTCGAGTTCAAGCATATTTTCAGATTGTTGTATCTATTTAATTCCATAAAAAGTAACAGCCATACTTACCTATCAATGAGGTCTTATGTCTAGTGGGTTTTTGATTTGTTTTGAAAATTCGGAATGGTATCTGATCAAACGTCTCGACAGAGCTATATATTGCAAACCAATAAGCGGGGGTCTCTATCTCGCTCACTGTACGAAACGCAAGTGTAAATACTTCACTAATATAATGTAAATTACTTCGTGTACCAGTACTCCTTGCTCATAGAGCGACGCAGAAGATCGAGATCCAAGCCCGTGGGCTCTGGCTAGCCTACCGGTACAGCGTCAGATGAAGCTTTAATAATCTCGGGACTGAAAGCAAAATCAGTTAATACAAGATACAATATACACAAGAAGATCGAGTTTGGGTGTTTGTTTTAAAATTGTTTTTTATACCAGGTCGTACCACCCGATGGAGGATGGGGTTGGGTGGTCGTTGCAGCATCCTTCATGTGCAACGTGATAGTCGACGGGATTATTTTCTGCAGCGGAATCGTGCTGACGTCGATACAGAAGGAGTTTGGCGTGAGTGTTATTTTTTTTTATGTAAAAGAGTGGCAAACGAGCTGGCGGTTCACCTGATGATAAGTGATACCCGCCGCCCATGGACATTAGAAATACACGTAGGGTTGCAAATGCGTTGCCTCCTTTTATTAAAGTGGGCCCCGGCTACCTCACTCACCACACGAAACTCAGTAGAGTAACACTTCTACTTTACGCCGGTAAGATCGTGGTAATTACCCGCACGGACCTGCCCATTGATTTGATTTTTTTTATTTTTTTTATTTGTTTTTTTTTTAAAACATTGCCCTCACTTTAGGATAACATTATCCTGTGTTGTAAGGACGTTTTACAAACATAAATTGCACGAGGACAAACACCCAGATGCGAAACAACTATCTGTGGGTCGCACAAATAGTTGTCCCGTGTGGGAATCGAACCCACGACCCCCGACGCCGAAGCCAATACCTTGGCAACGGCGCCACGGAGTCATCAAAGTCCATTCACGCAACAGTGAAAACTGTTGCGTGGCCATACCACAGTGTTCTCGATGTAACTTAACAGGGATGTAACTTAAGGGGGTGGCCTATGTTCAACGACGTATTACGGCTGATGGTGACGACGATGATGAACTTAATAGTGTATTTGGTACTATGAGTGTTATAATATTACAATAATACTTATTATTGTGTACATGACATAAATACTTTGTATAAATTAAATATCTATTGAAATCTTAAAAAATACCTCAACATTTCTGTAGAATATATTACGGTATATATAATTTAATTTCAATAATGTACACAATATTTTTTTACTCAGTATAGATTGTTAACACGTAGAAAGAATTGAATCTCAAATTATTAAAAGATTATAATACCTAAAACTATGCAACCCACATAAATGATGTGTAAACGTATAGGTATAGAAAATAAGAAGACCCATTATTTTTACTAAACTGTGCTATTACACGTGTAAAATGTAAATTACGTAAATAAACAAAATCATAATTTATCATAGCATACCTATACAAAATTAATTTTTGTTTTTTGAGAAATCTCGATTACTTAAATTAATTTTAAAATTAGTGACGTATAAAAATAGTTTTAGCGATTAAATGTACATGACCAAGGCAAACAAATGCTTTAAATACTTGTTGGATTCCTACTTCAATTCTTCATTAGATTGGACTAATAATTGAAACTGATATTCTGGCACACATTTCGAATTTATAACAAAAACTCTGTGGAAATATATTAAATTGTTCTATAATAAATTTGATTACACGTGTAAGAAAGTGTTATACGCTACATCTACATAATTATACAACAGCCTTGTCTATTCTAGTAACTTAAATATCCGGTTTCGTGACGGCCTGTGAGGGAGGCCTATGTGGACTCAAACAGGCTGAAATAATAATTATGATGAAATAGCCGGTAAATATTTGAGGATAAAAGCTAATGCGCGCAGTCACAATTATGTAGAATGACAAAGCATTATGTATAAATTTACATATCTCTAACTAAGCATAATTATGCTTTAATAAAAAAAAAGAATTTTAAATGTAGAACAGATCGGAAACGATTAGTTCGTGATTTGTACGCCTAAAATATATCACTACATAATTTGGTAGACACTTATGAAAAGCTTAATTTTATGCTTTATTTATATTAATCTTAAGAAAATATTCCAACACTTCTAATACAATTCTTTTGACCCACGATTTAAAATTTCGCGTTGCAGACGGTAATTTATACATTCGACTGACTCACGCGCATTCTATTTTTAAATGGCGTCTTCGAAAACCACACCTTCGCGCGTCGCGCCTGGCTCATGCGTCACTGCCGTGCCTCCGTATCAAGAGACAAAATATAATAAACAAGCTACCAATTTATTAAGGTCTGCGCCTCGGTGTTCTAACACTTCTTTTTAGTTTGCATGTGCAACGGTAAGCTAAGCGGAATAGGTCAGGAACAATTGGTAGGTTTTCCGCGGGCGCGGTGCAATGTTTTTCTAATTGTGCAACGATACTGGAGCAACTAAATTACAAACTGTCATATTTTCACTAATTGAAACGATTTTCAATGTTTATAGAGAACTTACAAAATGAGTATTTTAATAATTCACTCGAAGTTCTTCAGAACCCATAAATGTTTTCGTATTTACTATTGTATTATGATGACGGACAAGGCAGACTCCGTCGCTCAAGTGCCAGATATCCAAGGTTGGAAATAGTGGGTCACTGCGATGTGATGATTAATAAACAAGACCGTGTGAAGTCGCTCGGTCGTTTACACTTGACTTTACCGGGAAAGATCTTCAACCCAGTTTATCGTTTTCAATTTGAGAACATGACATTTTACAAATATATTTTGTTTCACAAAATTAAAAAAAGAATTTTGAAGGCTTATCAATAAACCAAAAAATACGTTTGTCAATATTTTATTATTTACGCAATGATTAATTTTATCACAAAGAGGAAGCCTTTTATTTCCCGCTTACTTCTTTTTTACTCTGTTTTTTTAATTTGCATTTTTTTTCTATATCATTTATAACTACGGAAACAAATTTTGAAGCTTGTTTCAATAAGCGTCGTCGTGCGCATTTAATGGCTTAATGATAATCTTACATCTTAACTTATCACATAGTCATTATGGCCCACGCAAACTAGTTTCCGCGAAATCTTTTAAAATGCATGAACCAACTCATAGATGATGAAACGCGTGACTATCATAGCTAAATTTAACTTTGAATTCCCGTTGGCGTATTTTTGTGTTTTTAAAGTTTTTAATCCTATGTATTAGTAGTTACTTTTGTCTATTTAGCTGGTCATTACTGAATGTTTGTTTGTTTGGTAAAGGAAATTTTTGTTAAGAAAAAAAAAAAGACACAGCACTTGTAAGGTTCGCCTATTTTCCTACCATAAGTACCATAGCGAACAGATATATTCAGTATTTTCCACGTGTTATGAAGCTTTTTTAGTTCTAAAAGTTTTGGGTGTCTTTTTCGGTATTCTTTTTATTATTTAAACTCTAATATCTGAGTCTTGAATCTTTTTTAAGTTATATTTCTTCTTCTGCGTTTGGGAAAATATGATGCCACAGAATTTTTATGAAGTGCCAATCTTAATTTGCATTTTATATATATATATATATATATATTATATTTACAAAAAACGAGTACTGGCACACGGGATAAAATTTTTACTTTTATTTCTTTTATTACGCTAAAGAATTATAGTTTCTTAGACATAAATAAATGTATGTGGCTTTATTTTATATGTCAACTCTTATAATAAATATAAAAATAAGCTTAAGTATAAACCCGTGATACTCACACAGAATATTTATCTTTGCAGATTATAGGACAAGCATAAGAAGGGAAGAGGCAAGGAAAACCATAGAGTTGGTTATCCTTGTTTCTTTCTAGGGAATACTGTAGTATAAAAGTAAAACGTCGAAAAGCGTTAAATTGGTGGCCCTACGGTAGCAGTTTGGTGCCAAGGTAGTAATTTTATAATTACCATGGTTACTGGCTATTAAAATTAACTCTGTAGTAACTCGGTAGTAGGTAGTAAGCTACGAAGATAATCATACACCTTTGCTAAGCTAGCGTCATTTTGGTTGGTTTGAACTATTATTTAATACTTGTACTCATCGTTGGACAGTTTTTCAACTTATCCCCAGGTAAGAGTTTCCTTATCTCTAAAGCCATGCTGTAGCGATTGAGCAAACGAGAAATTCGGAGATAAATTTTAGACCTACCTACCATGTTCATATGTATTTCACTTTTTCGTTACATAACTTTACATTGTAGCGTCGACGAATGTGTTATTTGAACCGTTTAAGCCGGTTCATACAACTTGGCAGTAGGCACGCGATGCCTTCGGCACGCGTCCTAAAATGCAGCCGTATCGGACGCGTGTCGTCAGAGAAGCCAGCCGCGATGCGGTGGCGATTGCGCGTCGCTGATTACACAATGCACGCGGCTTCGGCGACAATCCCCATGCGTGGATCGTCGCCCGATTACAGCTGTTGTACGCTCGGCGGCTATTATCCTTTTTTAGTTTTTAATTGCGGACAAATTGAACACAAATAGCTATAGAAAGATAAAGCAAGGTGGGAGATTTTTAGGGTTTTGTACCCAAAGGACGCTATTACAAAGATTCCGCTGTCTGTCCGTCTGTCTGTCTGTTCGTCTGTCACCCGGCTGTATCTCGAGAACCGTGATAGTTAGACAGTTGAAATTTTCAGATCATGTGTTTCTTTTACCGCTATAACAAAAAATACTAAAAACAATAAAAAAATATATAAGTGGGGCGGCTCCCATACAACAGAGATGATTTTTATCGTTTTAATGATTTCGTATTTATAGATAATGGTACGGAACGCTTCGTGCGTAAGTCCGACTCGCACATGGCCAGTTTTTTTTATGCGACAAGGTGGCAAGCCAGCTGGCGGTTCGACTCATATTAAGTGATTACCGCCGCCCATGGACATTTGCAACACCCGTAGGGTTTTAGATGGTGAAACGTGGCCACCTTTTAATATAGTTTGCTCCAGTTACCTCACTCACGAAACGAAACGCAAAAGAATAACACATCCACTTCACACCGTTGTTCTGTGAGTTCGTGGTACTACCCCGGACGGACTTGCCTATTCATGCAACACCGGAGACTGTTTCGTGGCCCTACCACAGTTCTTAGTTTATTGCATTAAGTTATTATACTTAACTATGTGGCAACCAAAAATGGTCAGTGATATTGCTCAAATAATAATACCATTTGCTGTTCGCGACGTTTAGCAGCGTGTGTTGTGTATTAAATAAACAAAACAAATTTCTCTCTCACGATTTATTTCCAAATAGACCTGTTAAAAAAGTGTTTGTGACATAGTTCAAAAACATATTTTATTTCATAAGATAAATTGTAACCCAACCTAGTATAAAGATTGTCTAGTATAATATCTTACGGTATAAAGGTGAGGTAATATTGAAAATTTATAATGATAAATTATTATTTTTTC